GGGCCGACACTCTAACCGCTGAGCCAAACCGACCAGGGCTCCAGTCTCTGTTTCTATTGTCACATGGTCTCCCCTCGTGTGGCATGTTGCCAAGGACACAAATCATATTGGATTAAGGCCCGCAATATTCCAAACATGACCTCAATTTAATAACCAACAACCCTATTTCCAAATAAGGTCACATTCTGAGAGGGGAGGGCTTGGGCGTAGCTTTTTGGGGACACAGTTCAACCCACAACACCCATGAAGTCTCATCAAGGACCAGGTGCCAAGATACCTTCCTTCAACCCATCCAACTCTCACCTGTGATGGTCATTCCTTAAGTTCAATATCTTCCCTTGGAAAATGTTGAGAAGCCATAAGGAACACTCCATGTATCATGAAAAAAAACCCCAGAGATTTAACCTCGTAAACATTCTTGACAAGGCTATTGCTTGAAGAAGTCCATGGAATTATGCCTTTCAAATGGAACTCACGGTCTATGTTTTTCTTCTACTCATCTGCCTCACCAAGCTGTTTTCCGAAAGCAGCAGGGAAACCACAATGCCAAGAATAACTGAGCATTTCGTGAGACTGTGAGCTCCGAGATAATAGTAATTTTTTAAAATGAAGAAGTCACATTTGTTTCTGCAGAAGGCTACGTTCCATATTACCTGTGGACAAAGACTTTCAAGGTTCGACCGGCCCAGCATCAATGGGCCCTGGGCACAATGCCCGGCTGGGTTGGCACAACCAGAAAGGGTCAGATTTGGATGGCCCCCAGGGTCACCGAGCATACGGGCACGGTGCCCTTTGAGTTTCAGAGAAGCCAGTGAAGACTGTCTACTGGAAGAGAAAGGCCAGGTATGGTATGACCTGAGAAAGGGAAGTCAGCAAGTGTCATGTCATCAAGGATGCAAAATAGCACCCCTGGGAAGAGCACAGCACCCCACATTGCAGCATCGGAATTTCAAAAGCCAACCTTATCTCCGACTGCAGGGCCAAAACCTTGCCGCCCCCTGAGCTCGGGGGGCTGAGAAGGCGTGTCGGGGTAACAGAAAGCTCCCTCACCTGGAAAGCACACTTACTGGAGCCTCAGGCTTCTGGCCCGTGTGGCTCCGTGGACTGAGCGTTGTCCCATGGGCTGAGCAGTCCCGGTTCGATTCCCAATCAGGGCACATGCCCGGGTTGCAGGCTCCATCCCCAGTAGGGGGTGTGCAGGAGGCAGCCGATAGATGTTTCTCTCTCACATTGATGATTCTCCCTCTCCCTTCCTCTCTCTAAAAAATTCAAGAAAAACTTTTTTTATCCTCACCCGAGGACATTTTTCCATTTTTTGTTCAGATAGAGTGGGAGGGAGAAAGAGAGAGAGAAACATCGACGTGAAAGGGACACATCGAGTGGTTGCCACCCGCACGACCCAACCAGGGCCGGGGACAAACTGCAACCAAGGTACGTGCCCTTAGCGGGAACCGAACCCGGGTCTCTGCACCACAGGTTGACACTCTAACCGCTGAGCCAAACCGGCCAGGGCAAAAACCTATTTTTTTAAAAAGGAACCTCAGGCTCGCCGGTTCGATTCCCGGTCAGGGCATATGCCCAGGTTGTGGGCCTGATCCCCAGTGGGGGCGTGCAGGAGGCGGCCAGTATCGATTCTCTCTCATCGATGTTTCCATCTCTCTCTCTCCCTCTTCCTTTCCCTCTCTCTAAAAATCAATAAAGAAAAAAAAATTTTTTAAATAAATAAAAAATAATAAAAAAATAAAAATGAACCTCAGGCCTTGTGACACCAGCAGGTACTTTCCGGTTCTCCACCCAGTTCTAAGGAAGACAAATGACACGGCCACCTTATGACAGACCCCACTCCACCCCCCGCAAAAGGAAAAGACCAGAGAAACACCCAGAAGTCCTCTAAGTGACAGCAACCTCTGTCCCCCAGGAAACCAGGCAACAGGTCCCAGAAGCCGCCAATGGTCATGACATGAGAGTTTCTCCATCTCTTACCCATCTGTGACCCGTCCTGTTCTGTTCAACAGTCAAAAACAGGAACCTTAGGTCTCAGAGCTACCCTGACAGCAGACCCCCCCAAAGGATGACAGCCATTGTTCCGGAACCGCTGCAAACGAGCAACAGTCCCCAGCCCGTCCCTAGCCCTCGCCAAAGCCCTGTGCACATGGAAGATAAATCCACCGAAGCGCCGCTGCACACGCCCTCACCCCCCGGGACCTGGGCGTGTGCCGTCTGCGGGGCAGGAGCATCTCCGCAGTGCCAGGTGCCCAGGTAGGCAAGTCTCCGGTCCACAGGCGCAGTCCTGCGGAGGCCTCCGTCATGCGTGGAATTCTAGATACATGCCTTCAGACAATGACGGGTTTTCCTTCAGTGCCACCAGCCAAAATAAAAAAAAAAAAGAATCGCCATTTCTTCTCCCAGAGGGCAGACTTCGGAGGTGTCACGTGCCTTCAAAAAAAGCCCAGTTTGTCAAACAGCTGGCACAGGGCGGAGGGAGGAAGCAGAAGGAAGGGCCATCTCACTGGCACAGGGCTTGGAATGAAAACCATCCCGGCCCAGGGAAGCAGGGTCCACGCATCCTGCCGGGCCCGCCGTGCGGGAGGGAGGGCCAGGGGCCGGGTAGGAAGGCTGGGGCGGCCAGCCTATCACGAGGGGCCTTTGAGGGGACGTGGCTGTTTGGCGTGGTACCAGCTCAGGTGTAAAAAAGAAAAACCTGTTGCGATTGTGCACTGGGCCCGGGGAGTCAGCAGCCGTGCCCTGGACTCCGGTGGGAAGGAGGAACAGCCGAGTGCTGAGCCAGGGTTAGCCTCGCTCATGACTCACTTCAATCCTTGGTTGACTTTGGGGCGTTTCCAAACATTGTCTGCACTACAATTCGGCACCGCTCCTAAAAGCCAGACTGCAGTCCAAGAGCAGATCGAGATGCTGATAACAGAACCGTCCTCTTACCTTCAGCCCTTTGCCCTGTAACTTCCTTTTAACACCCAATATCTCACGTCCTGATTGAGAAACTGCCAACGTAACACCTCTTTTAGCTGCTCTGAAGCAAAGCAATCGAGTTGTGGTTTTTTGGTTTTTTTTGACATGTTAACCGGATAAATCCAACTAAATGAGAACATTCGGTGGCCAAAGACAAACTGCCAAAAGCCAAGTATTAGGTCGGCGGAGTTTAAATCACTGCACGTCCAAGGCCAACGTTCAGTCAGGAGTCGCCGGGCACCGGGTCGAGTTCTGCATTAAGGGTTACGGGACTGGAGCTGAAGCAAAGGGCTTATCCAACATGGAAAACTCTCCGCTCCCACTTCCCTTTGAAGCCCAGCCTCTCCTGCCAAACTATAAACACATCACTTCCTGGACGACATGCCAGGCCACTTCAACTTGAAACCCAGTCCCGATGGTGTGCGTCCAAGATCCTCAAGACATCCAGCAACGTGGGAGACCCTGCCAGGCTCCTCTGCCAGGCTCCTCTGCTCCGAGCGAGCGCCGAGCCCCAGCCCGGCTCCCCCGCAGGAAGGCTCCACATGCCTCGGGCAGACTCACAGGGTCACATCCCCAAACGTGGAGAAGTTCGGCGGTCGGAAAACCACGAGCCCACCCCTCCGCGGCTGGCATCTGATTGGACGCCAAGTCTTCCCAAGGAAGGTCTGCCCGAGGAATGCCCCCAGTCTTCGATTCTCAGTATTTCGAGGCGTCCACTTGGCCACGGAGGACGGCGTTTCTCAACAGGGCAGCCTTACACAAGAGACGACGTTCTTCCCGGACCGTCGGGTCAATCAGCTCCTTCATACACTTCCCAACATGCCGTGAGCACGGTCCTATTCGCAGCTGGGGGCTGCTGAGCAGGGAAGAAAACAAACCTCCAGTTCTCCCTTGGGTCCCAACCTTCCTACTCGAGACTGTGAACTGAGCCAGTCAAACCTCAACAGCTCGGCCACTAGTCCAATCATCTCAGAGATTGCAAGCAAGTCACCAGACTGTCACAGCTTCTATCGAGAATACTTTTTATTGTACAGGCATCATATACACTACAATTCGAAGTGTGAACATTTACAGGCATGGAGTTCGATTCCGTGGCGCCCCCTCGCTGCCCCTCGCACTCCTGTTTGTGATCAGCCCAGCAGGAACGTGACACCAAGAATCGGGGCTCGGTGAACAGCGAGCCCCAACCCAGTAGACTCTTTCGCATCAAGAACAGAGCCCGGGATCCTAATTCCTAATACCCTGTGTACATACGAAGAGAACCTAAGGATGTGTGTTAGATGACCCCATCACCTTTTAAAGTTATTAAAACAGAATCCCCATTTCTCAAAAAGTCACTAGGAAGTGCACCCGTATTTACAGACCTGATTAAATTATGCATAAATAAAATCTGTACACTAGACACACCGTTTCTCAAAATAACAGCGCCTCCTCCAGGACCTGGGGGTGACAGGCAGCAAAAAAACAAACAAAAAAACACGCTTCATGCCTACCCTTTTCAAGTTTACTCAAATCACCAGGATGTGAAATAAATATGCAAATAAAGCTTCAGTACCTTAAAGGAACATGTCATTTCAAAGAATCTCCCATTTGAACAGTTACTTTTCAAAGTTTTTTTTTTAAAAAGAAAAAATATATAAAATCATCAGCAGGCTTTGTTTCTACACATTTAGTCAAACACAAAGGACCCCTTTGAACAAGGGGATTTTTAAGTGTGTCCAATACAACCTATTAATTAGTTGCTAAGCGGACAGAATCTGCTTCCTACTGTATGCAGGATTTGATATCTGAAGATGCTAGATAAATACTTATTTAAAAAAAAAAGAAAAAGAAAGACAGATACTTAGTGGGCACAAAAGCCAGCAATGACCTTAACACTGAAAGTGATTGATTTGAATCACATCAATTTGACATTTCAACAGCTAAGCGTGTGTGTGTGTGTGTGTGGGGGGGGGGGTTGTTAGCCCAGGGGACAGATTTAAAAAGTTTGAGAACTTGTAGCACCACTTTCAGAGACAGGAAGAAGGGGGATCGGGGGTTTGAAATAATAAAATGTAAGCTGAATGGGTCCAGAACTGGTACTTGTCACCTTCCGATAACTCGAGCAGAGTTAAGGAGAGATGCTTCGGCGCCAGAGAAATACTAAGGACTCCAAGAGGGCAGGTCAAAATCCAGAGGACAACAGAGACCTTTTTCATGGGAACTGGGGTAACAAGCTCAACGTGTCCCCCAGGCCAGAGGAGTTCCCCCGTCTGTGCAGCTGAGAGTGGTTTTGGGTTTTTCCCCCTTCCAGACTCTTTGATCCTTCGTCCCCGCCCATTTCATTTCCGATGCTTCTCCATCTTCTCCAGGGTCTTGCTGGAGTCGGCCGGACTCTGGTCTCCAGGGTTCATGTAGGATTTCTCTATGGTGACCAAAGCTTCCTTTATGTAGTTCTGCACGGCAGACACGGCGGCGCAGATGGCCTGGCTGCCAAACCCGTGGGTGATCAGGCTGAAGTGAGACAGACAGTTCTGAATGGTCGCCTCCAACACCGGGGCCGGCCGATTGTTCCCGTTGGGTGTCCGGTCTTGGTTGAGAAGGTCCGTGAATTCTTTACACACTTGCCTATGAAGACAACACACACCTATGAGCTCAGTCTCGCTCTTGACAGGTCGAGGCAAATCACCTTGAGACTGACACCTGGGGGCAACCGGGCCTTCTGGCCTGGGCCGAGGCAGGAGGCTTCAAACCAACCCTAATAGAAGAGCCAACTGCCTCAGTATTTAGCACCTACTAATGTGCGAGTCAACTCTTTCAAGAGCTATCTTATTTAATCCTCTCTGCAGCGGGAAGATAACAGGATTAATCCCAACCAACCCACTCAAGGCCAAGGTCAACCAGGGCTGGTAAAGGTGGGTCAGGATGCCAGCACCGGGAGGTTAAGGGGTGTTTGGGTGCTGGGTCAGTTCAATAAACCAATACACTAATTGGGAGACCCCCCACATTTTCCGGAAACTTTTTCTCCAGGCTGATTCAGGGGGCTCCCTCTCTCTGACCCCACTTCCGAACCGGATGAGCTCTGCTTCATTTCCCATTATTTTTTAAACCAATTTACTGCTGGGAATTCTACGAGAAATCCCGCAGCTGCAGTAAGTCAGTTGAGACATTTAACTTGCCCATTGGTCTCCTGCAAATCCAATCATCATATTTAAGAAGCAAAAAAGTCTTGTTAGCGGGAGGCAGAAACACAGCACACAATCTTTACTGGATGGGATGAACAACAAATAATCTCTTCACACTTTGCTAAGATATGCAAATACAATCAAGAAAGGGTAGTTGACCACTTCTTGGCCTTTTGGCTAAGATCAAGTGTAGTGTCTGTTATCAGTTCAATATCTGACATGCCCTCTATCCGAGGACAATGTATTAAATGGATTTGGGGAGCAGGGCGATGGAATAGGAGCTTGCTCTGTCCACTCCACCATCGACCCGGTTTTGCAGTCCCTCCGGGGACAGTGCATAAAAAAAGGAGGTGGGTGGGTACTTGGAGCTCAACAGCTCAAAGAAGTAAAAAAAAAAAGAAACATTCACTTGGAGGAATACAGTCACTCATTTTACTTACTCTTTCAAGGTATGTGACTTTGTAAAAGAAGTCCCTCGCTGTTTTCCTGCGCTCCCCGCCCTGACTTCTTTAACCAGGGGCTGTCTGGCCCCTCCAGCTCAAGGTCATCGAGCCCCGGGTCAGACCGGTCAGAGCAAAGGCATCGGCTTGAGGCCTGGGTACTCACTGTGCGGCCAGCAGCATGTTCTTCCTCGCCGCCATCTCGTTCCGTCCCCCGAGATGCGGTCGGACCAAGTACTCAGCCACCGGTTTACTGGGAAACTCGGCCTCACAGACGTACGCAAAGTCCCGGGCCAGGTGAACAGCTTCCCCTGGAATCATGCAAGACGTTAGGGCGGCTGTGGCCGCCTCAGACACACCGTCTCCTCCCCTTTCTAGCACTGTGCATTCTCGGGGAACTCAGACACGCTCCTGGCCAGTGTGGCTCCAGTGCACCAAGAGGTTGTGGGTTCGATTCCCGGTCAGGGCACATACCCGGGTTCTGGATCTGACCCCTGGTTGGAGTGTGTTCAGGAGGCAGCCGATTAATCTTTCTCACATCAATCTTTTCCTCTCTCCCTTCCCCTCTATCTAAAATCATTAAGCATGTCCTCGGGTAAGGATTTAAAAAAAAAAGAAATCACAGGCAGGAACTCTGGCTGGTAAGGATGTCCTCTCCCCTACAGGGGGTGAAATCCTACGTGAGGAAAACAGACCCCGGAATGTTTAACTGTGCCCGAACAGTGCGAACCTGTCCCCTGCCCACCTTGACCAGACGGACCGAGACACACCTGTACTTTCTCCGATAGGAAGCATGAGCTCTCATCATGGAGGAGGGACATTTAAAGAGGAATGTGTCTGACAACAGCCATCGGCCACTTCTCTTCGTGACTCACGAAGTCCTTCACGGGGAACTTTCCTTAACTGGGGCACCCCGTTTCTGGAGGGAAGGAGCCTCTGGAATGTTTCTTTAAGAAAGAGGGGCAGGCAGGGCCTGGACGGTTCAGCTCAGCAGTTAAAGCATCGACCCTTGGACCGGAGGGTCGCAGGTTCGATTCCCAGTCCAGGGCTGGGTTGCAGGTATGATCCCGGGGAGGGGGATGGGATTCGTGGGGGAGGCAACCAGTCCATGTGTCTCTCACATCTACGTTTATCTCTCTCTCTTCCTTCCCCCCTCCCTGCCACTGTATCTAAAAATTCATGGAAAAATACCCTCGGGTAAGGATTAACAAAAAGGGAGGCCAGAGTGTTTTTCCTGTTGGACATGTTAAGGACCCCAACTACCAACTTGGACTACCCACACCCTTTGTCCAAGATATGGGGGAGCAGAGGGAAAAAGATGCAAGAGTCACCCCCCCTTCGAGGTGCCAGGTGCCGACGCCACACTGCAAGGCTGGCAGAGCCTTTCAGAAACCCAGATGGTGCCCCCGCAGGCTTTGAGAAGCCCTGCTCTGGCACACTGTCCTCTTCAAGCCCCCCTACACCAGGCTGGTAAGAAAACCGAGGGAGGCACCGTCATGCGCCCGCCACACAGAATCCACCCAATTCTCCATGCAGACAGCTGGTCCCCAACAGTCAACAGGCAGCCCCTTTCTCCTCGCCCTGACCTCCAGAGGCTCCCACGAAAAGGGGGAGCAGGCCCTGCCACGTCTCTTCAGCCCTGCGGTAGCACCCATTAAACCGGGGAAAGCTTGCCTGGCTACGGGACACCCCACCCCTCACCGACTCCCCCTGGCTGGGGGCTGGAGGTGGCCGGAGGCTGCGGGAGGGGCCTGTCGGCGTCCACGCCACCTTCCCGGCCCATTAAGTGTGTATATTTAATGACTTCACTTTTTCTCATCCCCTCCCTTTAAAGACTATATTGCATCCTTGGCTCCTTTGCAGGTTGGGCTGGTGCAGGCCCATGGGAGAAAATGAAATGTCCTCTCCTACGATTTTAGAATTGAGGAGAGGGACTCACCTGTGGGCCCCCATACTTTTTTCTTTTGACGGGGGAAATGAACACAGGACTGTGAGTGGGCCATCCCCTTGTGCACGGGGCTTCTCTTTGCGGACCACAACCCCACAAACCAGAAACCATACTTCTGTGTCCACCAATAAGCAACCAAGCTTTTTAAAGGTGTATCAACTGACGGACAGTATCTTCAAAACCTGGGTCATTTAACAGGACACGTCTCAACACCCTGAAGTGTAATTTCTTAGGTTAGGAAAACCTGTTTCTTTTTTACATTGATCTAGAAAAATGCACTAGAGTGCCTTCAGCTCACTCTACTCGTGACCAAATTGAGTTCTCTTGTATAAACTTTTTTCTTTATTGATTTGAGAGAGAGAGAGAGAGGAAAGGAGAGGGAGAGAGGTGGAAACATTGATGAGCGAGAACATCGACTGGCTGCCTCCCGCACCCCCCTCCCCCCCCACTGGGGATTTGGCCCACAACCTGGGCGTGTGCCCTGACCGGGAATCAAACCAGTGACCTCCTAGTGCATGGGTTGATGCCCAACCACTGAGCCACACCGGCCGGGCCAAATTGAGTTGTTGTTAAGCCTTTCTTTGGAGAAATAGTCAAGACAACACAGCAAATTAAAAGCACCAGAACACTCCACTGACCTTCTACTAAGGAAGTCAGGAGGGTTACGTGGGCCGCCTTCCGTCTGCCGGCCGGGAGATTCAGCCCGATCTTGTCCAACTTCTCCCGCAAGGACCGGCCTCCGTTTTTAGATTTGGCTCTGCGTACAAGAAAGTCGACCGTGGCTACTCTCAAGAAACCACACTCTAAAGCCCCAAATTCCTAGACAGCCATCGAAACTGAAATTCACCAATCGGAATCAAATGACACTGGGAGCCCTCATTAATTAATTCCCGTAAAATGCAAAAATCTTTCTTAGCACGGCCAGCATTTTTTTTTAAATCACAGACTATTGCAAGCTGTACTGGACGGAGCGGATACATTTTCACTTGTTAAAACTGCAGCAGCTCAGAAAAACTCCCTGGGGAAACAACCCCTCAACAGAAGCCACCACTTCGTACACGCAATACATTCTAACCAAATGATCATTTGTTAGCACCGTTTTAGCACCTCCTTCTACACTTGAATCTTTCTTTAAAAAAAAAAACAAAAAAACAACTCTCTGAGCTGATTAGAATTCAGTGCGAGGTCTCAACGTTACAGAAATGTTAAAAATACCTCCTGGTCCCTTCATATAGCCACCTCCAACCCACCCAGCCACCATGCCCGGAATGGCTCCCCATATACCTTCTGAGCACACCTCCCAGTAATGAGGCATTTAAGCATTCAGGCGGGGACAACCGCCTCTGGACTTCAGCAACTGTCACTTTGTATTTAGATGTGGAGCTCAGAAGGGACAATCTTCCAGGGACGGAGCAGAAGACCTCACTGGGGTTCATCACAGCCCCCACCAGCTCCTTCTGACAAGGGAGGCTTAAGGGGTTCTTGGTCATTGAAATAGGACCTGTGGATGAAGATCAGACGGGGCGTCTCGAGAGCTGCATCCCAGCAAAAGAGACCTTTGCGAACAACCACTAACCAAGGCACAAATAACATCGCACTAGGCTATAAGTTGCATGTTTTTTTAAAAGCCTTGTTCTCAAAAATAATCTAATCAGAAACTCACAAGTGAACACGTTGGGAGTTAGTCAAGATCCCAAGCATGGAGTGGTTTTCATTCTCTAGCCACTGTTAAAGATCTGTTTAATTAGAATATTCGTTTCCAAAAGACCACTTTACTTCGATACTAAGTAAGTGGTGTGGGGTTTTTTCCCCCCTCCCTCAAGAAACCGAAATCACAAGACATACTCAGGACCTTTGCCAAACCCTTCAGCACAACTCATCATGGTAAGTTTTTAAATACAAACAAACCTGTTCTGTTATAAATTTGCTGAGGAATTCAGTTTTTTGTTTGTTTTTCTCCCCCAAAACCCATTTTACCCCAACTGATTTCAAGCAGTTTAACTTCAAGTAAAAGACCATAGCTGCCTTTAACATAGGCCCATTTCACTTCCCCGAAACAGCCAGACTGGTAATCCCATCAGCAAGCAACTTAATTTCACAAGGCGCTCACTTACCAAATACAATAATCCAATTCTCCAAGCCCCCTCCCCCAGCATCCTGCACAAACCCAGCCTCTAGCAGCTCGCCTGGCCTGATACTTTCAGGGCTATTAGGTAGGCCAGACTGTTTCAAAATGCTTTCTTGCAGGTCAGAATGAAGGATCCTTGCCACATGCATATTTGAAATCCACAATAGAAATCACATCAACTCATTGGACAATTAAAACTGTCACAGAACCAACCACTCAACCGGTGTTAGCTCACTCTGGGAGGCTTTCTCTGACATGGTGAGAACACCCTGGAACTACAGGAATATCACATATTGGAGACTGAGACAGTTGGTCCTTTTCATTTAGGTGGGGAAGAAATCCCCTGTCAACTCCTAAAGCCTGCCTTCTGAGTTCCCATCCTTCCACCACAATTGTCCCGAGCATCCCACCAAACGCCCCCACCTTGCCACTAAGTAACTTCCCAACACTATTATGAACCAGGACGCAGAGCACGTGTGGCCCTACCTTTGCGAATAACAGTCTGATCGTGCAGAAGAAGGTGCTGCTCGTCCACAATCTGGGGGAAGAAAGGACAGTTTCTTTTAAGTTCCGGAGAGCCTGGGCAAGGGGCTAGGACAGAGTCTACGGGCAAACGGTCGGGGCAGGAGGGGGCCAGAACCTAGGCGCACTCACTTGCACGTCGTCCATCTGTTGCCCCATGTCGTGCAGGCCCAGGTTCTCCGCCAGGCCCGCGGCGTCCAGGGCGTGCGCGTGGGGCAGCAGGAGGTCCGAGCGGCGGTAGCCATCCCTGCGAGCGCTCAAGGCGCCACCGTCCAGCCCCGAGAGGTGGGGTAGCAGGCCGGCGGGGCGCCCGTGGTGCGAGGGCAGGCCAGCCGCCTCCTGGCTCTGGCGGCTGGGCCAGGCCTGCGGCTGACTGCCGGTTGGCGCCGGCTGGTGCAGGGGGTTGATGGCAGCGGCGTACGCTTCTCCCAGATGCGAGTAGGGGTCTGCCGACTGCGAGTAAGCCAGCTGCTGGTAGGGCGGTGGGAAGTAGGGCGGCGGCTGGTATTCGGCGACTCCGGTATGGGAGAGGGGCGGCGCGGGGCTGTAGAGATGCTGCCCGGCCGAGGAGAGGTGGGGGAGACGCGGGTTCCCATTGCTGCTCCCGTCCTGGCGGTCCTGGCAGAGAGAAACCCACACCCGGTTACTACGAAACCCCGCTGGTGCGAAGCGGCGGCGGCCGCCGCGCGGAACCTGCGCCCCCGGAGACCCAAGGCGCCCGCCTGGATCCGACCCGCGGGGCCTGCCCTCGGGCCCCCGGGAGCAATGTGCCCCGGGGGTGTCGTTGTGGAGCCGAGCCTGCGTAGGAAAGGGAAACGGGAAAGACCTGGGGAGGCGCGCCCTCGAAGCCCGGCGGCGAAGGTCCGGGCGCTCCGCTGCCCCAGGCCCTCTGCGGTGCCCAGAGCGAGCCGCAGGCCCGGGAGGAAGTCGGCACGCGGTGCACGCGGTGCAGGGCGCTCTCGCTCACCCGCCCGCACATGTTCGCGTCGCAGAGCAAAGGAACGCGGGGAAGCGGCGGGCGCGGATAAAGCGCGCATCTCCCCCGCCCCGGGGATCTGCTTTTCCACGCCCTCGGGACAAAGACCTCCCAGCGAGAGACACTCCCTAGCAGGGCCTGCCACCCAGCTCCGCCGAGGAGCTCAAGAACCCGCCGCAGCCGGAGCTGCCCTCCCCGGTAGCGTGTCCCGACCAAGTGCGGCTAGAAGTGAGACAGCCCCTCCCGGCCGCGGGGAGTACCCCCACAAATCAAGGCACAGGAAGAGGGGTAAGGACCCTAAGAATTGAGCGACTTTGCCTGCGCACGTCCCCTTGTCCCACGGCTGTCCGGCTTAGTTCCCCAAGGACGTGTCTCCGAGTGCTCCGGGTGTCACGGGGCAGTGGGGAGGCAGGAGGAACATGGCACTGTTGCCCCCTAGCGGATCAGTGCGGGGCTGCGAGCAGGGGCAGCCCCTCGTGGTGCCGGGAGCGCGCGATGGGCTCCCGCGGGCTTCCAACCCCGCTCCTCTCTCCCAGAGCCCAGGCTCACGCCTCCCGCCACCTGCGTCTTCTTCCTCTTCCCGCTCGCCACCTCCCTCCCTCCCACTCTCCGAAACTCTAGTTCAACCTGTCCGACAGGCTGGAGCACTCGCAGCGCTTACGGCCTCATCTGGCCTCAGCACCCCCCTGCGCAGCACTCCCCAGCCCCCACTTCTCTTGAAAGCCAAACTTATGTTGTTTTCTTCTCTCTCCGAGAAGGTAGCGGGGCAGATGACAAGCCCGCCTGGGAGGAGACTCCGCAAAGGTGTCGCCAGCAGGTCGCCGCGTCTGACCCTTCTGGACGGAGATTTCGTGCGTAATAGCCACGTCTAAAGGGTTGTAGACCCGGCGCTCTTCCGAGAAAACGGGAAGAAGGGCTGTTTTGCTTCGCGTGAAACAGACCAGTAAGCTTTGTGGGTGGGATTTGCCATTCTCTTTCCAGGCCCCGCTCCCGAGGCTACATCCTTAGGGAAAGGCCCGATTCAGGAAGGGGGCCCCGGAGGCACAGACTAGGGGGTGTCCAGAAAAGTAGACCCCGTCCCATTGAGGGGCAGCAGCGGGTGCCTGCTTGCTGCTCCTGCACCCTCGCCCCCAACCTCGGTCCAGTGGCCCCCGCCTCCCAGACTGTACTCGGGCGGGGCTGGGCTGCGCCCCCGTGCCCAGCTCACCTCGCAGTCCTCTTCATACTTGACATTATCGGTTATTTTCCACAACATGGCGTCTTGCGTCCCCCAAAACAGTCGCCAATTAAATCCAGGTTCCCCCCACCCCCCCAGCGGTAAATCCAAAATTGGGGTCACGGTGGCCAGGCGTCTGCCGCCGCCCCCGCCGTGCGCGGGCCTCGCTGAACCGGTCACTGGACGCGCATCCGCGGCTCTGGGAGCGTAGATGCTGCTGCCGCCGGCGAACAGGCCGCTGCCAGGGACCCAGGAAGCCGCGCCCGCACAGTGTGTCCCGGCTATAGCCGGGGGACCCGGGCGCCTTAATGAGAAGGAAATTATCATAACTCCTCCCCGGGGGCCGGCGCGAAGGCCCGGGCGCCGGGCGGGGCTGCCCCCAGCCAGTCCCAGCCTAGCTCCGCCCCACACCCCGGCCAGGCGCCACGCGAAGACCCACGGTACCGGAGACTAGAAGAGGAGTGGGTGGCACCTCTCGAAAGTCTCAGACCTGCGGAAGCCAGGGTCCCCCGTCGCACCTTCCATCCCCAACGTGCACACGCCCGAGATTGGCGGAGCTGGGGACCTGAAGCCAAATACCTAGGAGCTCCCGCTTTCGCCTAGAGCGCCCCCCCATCTTCCAAAAAATGTCACACTGGGTTAGAGACCCCGCGTTCTGGGCGCCGCTACAGCTGGGGTCCCCTTATCTCCTAAAACATTGCACCCCGCCCGCTCCACGTAGACTTCGAATTTAGGCCGAGATCGCACAGCGGGAGCCCAGCCGCTCCGAGATGTTTCCTCCCGCCCCGCTCCGTGGGCACAGCGCGGTCCCGTACCTTCGAGGTGGGGGAGGAAGGCCTTCAGGGGAGTCTGCCCCAAGTGCCTCGGGGATCCACCCGCCCAAGTCTGGGACAACAGTCTCGCCGCCATCGCCAGAAGCTGCATCTCCAAGGCTGGCTGTGGTCCGGGCGGGGGTGAGGGGCGCCTTCGCCCAGCTCTGCCCTACCCTACTCTGCTACCCTGCGCCAGCTCCGCAGCAGACTCCGACGGATCAGACATTCAGAAACCTCAACTTAGCAGAAAATAGAGGTGTGGGGCGGAACAAAACCCTAGCGCCACGGGCGGGGTAAGGGGGAGGGAGAGCAAAGGGCGGGAGAGGGGCCCCGGCTGCAGAGGTGAGCACCCCAGGTCGGCAGATTTAGGTAGAAAACGAAACTTCCACAAGAAGGGGGCCTCTCTCCCCCAAAGTATTTGTCACCTCCACTTGAAAGCAACGGGCAATATTTTTTAAATCTTAAACGAAATCCATAGGCCCAAAGATTGTAATTGACCTTTTTCTCTGCTGGGGGGTGAAGTCGGTAATTCTCAAGGGGGAATTTTGTTGGGACGTCCCAACTGGATCTGGGAGATAACCATTCTGAGGGAACCGGAGATGTGATCCCAAATCCGAATTCCCAATAATCAATATCTATCAGTCCATCGTCCGGCATGGAGTGGACGCTACTCCCTACCCACGGAAGACTGCATCGCTGCCGTCTCACTCCTCGGGTTTGCTTGATTTGAGCATCTCTTTAAACCCAGATGGGCCTAAAATCAGAACTAAAATAAAAATAAGCGTCCTCTAAGCGAAATGTCTTCCTCCTCGCTTCAAACGTAGTTATGTATTATTCGGCGCTTTGCACTAAGTACAAAGGACTGTGGGTGAAAGAAATTGCTCAGGGTATCAGGGGTGAGGGCAGGGGCCCTGAGCTGTGCAGGAATCGCACCCAGGCACGCTGGCGCCCCGGGGATGGAAGGCTGAGGTCCCAGGCACTCCCGGCAGGAAGGCTGCGGCGCCTCCTTCGGTAGCCTCAGACTTCCAGGTCAGCGCAGCGGAGGCTCTCCTCCGCGCTGGGCCTTCTAGCCCGGGGCTTCACTGAGACCCGGCCTGGGGTCCGCTTGAACAGCGTGTCTAGTCTGCGCCGGCAACTTTATCCCAGGGCAAGTTGGGGCCAAGGTTGGGCAGAAAAGTACCAGCCCCCCACCCCAGACCCCGACTGTCTTTCCTTCCCGCCGAAGCGCTCGCCAGAGCCACCCTGAGGGACAGAGATTCCTCCCAGCCCGGGGGCACTTATGGCAGAGACAAAGGGTGACCATGAGGGTCTAAGCGCCTCCGTTCTGGGAGCCCTGGGGGCCCAGAGTTTCGGAACCGCTTGGCAAAGGCCATTGATTCCCAAGGCAGCTCCTTAGACCCCGGCGCTCCCGAGTCTCCAAGGGCACGCGCTCCAGCTAGATCGCGACTTCCGTGCCCTGGGTGTGGAAGGCGGCTCAAACAAACGTTCAGTCTTCCCGGCCAGAGACCCTGTCCAAACACGCACACACTCGGCTCTGGGCCGGAACCCAGACACGCGCGCCCTGGTTTGGGTGGCGGAAGCCTCAGACCTTCTTGAGCTCAACTATTCTGAGCTGTGAGCAAGGCTCGGGGGCGGAGGGGAGGGCTCCTGGCACCAGAGACAGACTTCCCTCCAGAGCCCCCGCCCCTCGCCGCCCGAAGACGCGAGACTGTGTGGCCGCGCCCTTGGATAGCCGCCGCCCCGAGAAGGGTGCCTCCTCCAGACCCTCGGGGGCTTCGCAGCCGCCAAACTGTAAACAGAATGTGGAGATCCCCGGGGCAAGCCTCGCTGGCCGCCTCGCATAATCAGGGATATCGGAATGGTGGGTGGTCAGCGGCTCCCCTCTGTCGCCCCCTAGGGAGCCAGCACTCACACGCCTGAAGCCCTGGACCCAGGCCCCCAGCTGCTCGCATGGCCTAAGACACCCGAGACAGGAGGCGACGAGGCGTCTGCAAGGACAGCAGTGCTCCGACTGTGCGCCCCCTCCTACGAGGCGCGGAAGGGTACCTCTGGAGACAGGACTCCGAACCCCAGGTGCGAATTCTCGGTCGCCCCCACCCCCACCGCAAACCGAGACAGGCGGCGAGGCGCGTGGAGCTGGGTTGGGTTGGGGCTGGCCTGCGACTCTTCTCTTCCCTCCCCAGGAAGAGGGAGCCCTAGCGGCAGGTGGAGGCCTCCCAGAGTGCAAGGTGTCTGTCCCGCCCCTTGGAACGGCGTGACCTCCGGCTGGGACCGCAGTAAGTGGCGGGGCCCGGCTAGACAGAGCCTAAAAGCCGGGCCTACCCACTAGGGTACCCACCAGACAGACACTGTCAGAGAGCACCCGAACTGTCTAAACCCACTAAGGTGCACACCCTGCGGCGCCATATGCGCCCATTCACAGCCACTTCAACATAACAGAAAGAATAGAAAAATAGCAGATTTTTCTCATGTGCGAAGGCCGACTGCACACCTTTGGGTCTTAGCCCAAGTCCGGCCCTACTCCATTACTGCTCACTTCTAAGCGCACTTCGCCAAACCGTGTGCTGGGAGGGCCTTCGCAGGCTGCACCTCTTCATGCAAACATCTGCTTTTCCCCAGATGGGCAAAGCCTGGCGTGGAGCTGAGAGGCCTGTAAGATCCAAGCTTCCCGGGAGGACCCTGATCCACCTCTGTCGCGGGTCTACTCTGGGCGTTCATTTGCAAAGCCCTTGCCAAGCGCAGAGGCCGTGGGTATAGTCTCTAACTTGACAGCCATCGCCCCATTGCCCCGCAGGCGAAGGTGCATTTTCCGATGTCCAACCACCTCCAAGCCAGAAGTTGTCAGCTATTCAAGACCACCTCCCTAGCGGCTCTCGGGACCTGTTAGAGACAAGCCTGGCTCTCGCCTCCCCTGCCCCGGGGGACCCCCGCCCTCCAGAAGCCTCGCTCAACTGCAGAGCACCTGTCACCTCCACTAACATCCCCCGGCCCATCAATGTGCAACCTAACCGCTCCGAGCAGGGGCGGGAGGCCTAGGGCGTGAGCGCAGTGTCCCCAGGGCCTTCGTGGCTCGCTGTCCTAGAACACCGTGCACCCCCAGGCCAGCTGAGCCCGAAGGCCTTAATGCGTATCTGGTCGCCGCCAGGCGAGGAAGAGGCCCACTGTGGCCAGGCGCTGAGAGGCGCCGACTGGCTTCCCGAGCCAGAACTGTGCAGCGCCCAGGAGCCAGCCTGCACCCCGCCCCCGGCCCCCATCGGCGCCCATCCCACACAGCCGGCATCTTCGCTCTCGGTAGCCTGGCCTCCTGCAGCCTCTCCTTCCTGCGGGTTCCTGGAGTCTCCTCGGCCCTCCACCCGACACCTCTGCTCTTCTCACCCCTCGGAACTGGAAGTTCATGTCGCCAGCTCTTCAACCCTCCGCGAGCTGAAGACTGGAAGAGTGCGAGCCACGAAGATATAGCTTCCCGAGGGCCGAGTCCAGTGCTGTAAAGTGCTCTGAGCGTTTATTTAATTAACGGAAGGGGGAGGGGGGCAATTCACAGGCAAAACGGGCTATCCGATTGGAGGACACACCTGGAAGGTCCTGTTACTCCTCCCCTGCCCTCCTCCCCTTGGAAACGAGAGACTTCCCAAGGGAGAAGGGTCATCCCTTACGTCTGTATCCGACAGGCCCACCAGGGTTCCTTCCATCACGAAATTATTTTAAATGTGGTCTACGTCTTGCTGCCAAAGGACATTTTAAATGTATTTTGTCTCCAAAGCCAGACCTATTCACACTTCCTGGAATTCTCAGCTGTCATCTCTAGCGTTGGGCTCACTTCAGACACCTGGCAGGTTTCCAGGTAAAATTGAACCAGGGGCACTGAATTCCCTGGGGGAGTGGGCCGGGGGGTCTTTCTTAAATGGCAAAGAGATGTCTTTGCTCTTGGTGATCCATGCTATTCGCCTTAAGAAAAGAAGCATGGGGCCTTGGTTACAAAAATAAAAAACAAAACAGCTGGGAGTCCAGTAAAATAGTCTCCTTAAGGACAACTGGAAACACAGAAATAAATGCTGTTTATGGACTAAACCGTCAGTTCGAACATTACGGGACTCACTGTGATCACCCAGGCCAGCAGGAGAAATTAGGGTTGCACAATGAGGCTACGTGGGTCCCCGATGGTTTTCCCACAACACCTGCCCAGGCAACCCCAAAAGTTCTTTTTCCCAGGTAGATGGGCTGAAAATGTATCCAGGATTCCCCTGTGTCTGCCGACATGGACCGAAGAGGAAGTGTTAGGAAGCCTGCAGGTTTCAACCTTAGTACTGGCTAGAAGTCTTCAAGGAAATGCACCAGGAGACTTTTATAATAGAGCCATCTGTGGACAGAAAGGGACGTTTTTACATTTCTCAAAATGGAAAGTGATGTAAAGGGGGTTAAACATTCACTCTGAACACCGCTTTGGGCCGAAACGGGCAGAAAACA